AGGAGGATTGCCTGAACCCAGGAGGCGGAGGTTGCAGTGAGCCAAGATTGCGCCATTGCACTCCAGCCTGGGTAATAAGAGCGAAACTCCGACTCAAAAAAAAAAAAAAAAAAAATCATTGACTTTACCCTGGTTTACTTACCTGCAGAAGAAATTCATCTTGGAGCAGGATTACAATAATATAGAAGCTAACTCATTTGGTATGGCACATGTTGGGCTGCACATGAAATAAACAGAAAGAGCAGCATACATTTATTCACATCAGTAAAGGGAACACATTGCAACATAGGAGTAATGATATCCAGACATAATATCGATATTTTGGGAAGTTGTTTATAATTAAGATAACTAAGGAGATTTAAAATGGTGCATTTTTTTCTCCTTTGCATGGCAATTGCTTTTTGGGGATGTCAATGCAGAAATTGTTGGGTTGTAGAATTTTTAAAAAGAAGAGCACACTCGTTTTATTTATTTTATAGGATTCTGGTGCCTTTGTGATAGGCAGCCACAAGTGAAATTACCTTCAATGGTGTTGGCTTAGTCCCTTCTCTGCTACTAATCATCCCCTCAAACCCACATACATTAGACAGAGCAGTTGTCCTTCACCACTAAAGAAACGCAGTCGAGAGTTATGTTACCGTGGAAACAGAATCACTTTTTGCTGCAAGACACACTGCTTCATCTGCACTATTATGAAGCAGAATACATTGCTAGGGCTGGGAAGGGAATAAAATATTTCTGCCTGCCAGTATTGTACTTGGCCTTTGGGTGAATAAATGACTTTCAATTAGAGCACTAAATATCTTTTAACTTTAATAATTATTATTAGAGCCTCAACAGAATTTTACTTGGAAAAGAATAAAAAAAAGATTTTTCTGTTAAGGGAAGAGCTATAAACTCTTTCAAACTAGACCACTCCTGTTAAAGGAAATGCAAGATAATTTGCATTTAATGGGTTCATTGTGTATGAAAATAAGTGTTTTTGTTCTTTGTTTTTTGACTTTCTGATTTGATCACCTTGTGGATTAATGAGATTGTCCTTATTTCTTTCCTTTTTTGGTCTCTGCTTTTAGCTTCTTTGTAGTGAGCACACTTATTGACAGCTTCATCTTGTGTTGGGCTGTGTCTATGCATGTCCACTGTTGTCCACTTGCTGCTGAGAATCCATCTAAGTCTGTGATCTAAGCCTGTAACCAGTCCCATTTCTGGGCCCTCCCAGCCAAAGCCACTAGTTCCCATGTGCTACCTGGTTCTGCTACTGGGGGGTTCCCTTCACCTTATGCCCAATCCTAAATTCAATCACTGTCTTATTTTGTTTTCTTTCCTCTACTCACTATCTTTTACTGTTTGTGTTGTTATTAGTATTGAAGAACAAATGTATATGAGCTACACTAGTAGAAGGATGAATTCTGTAAAATTTCAGAAACAAAACAAGAATCTTGTATCCTTCAGCTCTTAAGATGCTCATTGACTTTTCTTACAGGCCCCCAGAAAGCTCTATTAAAACAAACAAAAACCTTAAAACACACACACATGCACACAAACACACACACACTTGCACGTGTGCACATTATTTCGCATTACCTCAAAGTCTAACTATAATCATATAATCACAGGAAAATCCCACATAATGAAAAGGAAAAATATTTTATTGGCTGGATAAAAATTAGAAAAGAATGTGATACTTTAAAAGTGCTAGCATTTTAATTCTAGAGGTAGTGAAGCAACCTTAAGAGACAAATGACAATTCTTGAGTAACTAGTCAGTGGTGGGCATTTTGTATATCTGTCATCCCATTTCAGTCTCAAATAAGTCTCAATGGCTTCTGTTATTTTGATTTTACAAATAAAATGAAGCCACTAACACTCAATTATTTAAAAAGTCATTCTCCGATTGTATAATTCATACATGTAACCAAAAACCACTTGTGCCCTAGAAGATACTGAAATTTTAAAAAGTCATTCTCAAATTCCCCACATAAACCCTAAATTGTTTCTGATTTCGAGTTTAGCATTCTTTCCAAGTGCATCACCCAATACAGTGTTCAGCAAAGCTCTGAACTGCGTTGAGGGTGAGGAGTATGTGCTAAAATTCAAGGAAAAAATAAGAATATGGCCTCTCATCCTGCCTTTCCACCTCTAGACAGGACTTGGAGAAAATCGTTTATTTGTTTCAAACTCAGATTTATTCATCCTTAATTAATATGGATAAATAACCTCTTCTCTCTTCATGCAAGTAAGAAGTTAATGTGTGAAAAACATCTTGAAAATACTAAGGGCAGTTTTATTTCTGTGGAAAGAAGGACTTACTCCTGTTAACTGTAATAGGTCCAGATTAATAGGTCCAGATTAATAGGTCCAGATCACTGTCAGTTTATTAAGCCATCCAAATTAATTCAGCCACCAAATCATTATCAATCTCAAATATGCAATGTTTTGAGAGCTGTCCCTGTCACATATTTCTTGGGTATCTGCCAAATAATGTAATACAGTGCTGAGTTAGATAGTGGATGTATAATACTCATCTTTAAGTAAATGGAGTGTGTGATCAAATCAAACTGTTGTCCAATATCTACTTGAGCCACAAGTTATAGACCCTATTTTATCATAAAATTAAAAAGGATTCATTAAATGCCTGGTTAAAATTAGCCTAAGTTGCTTTATAAAGACACAATCATAACCTTGGTTCAGAGTATTAAACTGATTTTTAAAATAATGATTTATTTTTTTCATTATCACACAGAAGGAAATATTTAATTTTTCTAAACTCCATTGCTTGCCTTTCAGAGGGTCTCAGGAAATATTAGTGCAGTAAATATTGAAAAATAACTTACCCAGCACCTAAAATTTCACCTTCTCTATCTCTTATAAATTAACAAAAACTGCTTAATTTCAAGCATTTCATATGTATTTACTATACTCTGAATTTTACAAATACCACTTCTTTTAATTTTTATAACAACTTTCTAAAATTGAGTCTATTATTGTCATCAAGTTTAGAGAGTTAAAATAACTTGCTCAAGTCACAGTGCAAGTCTGTAGCACAGCCTGATTCAAATCCATGCTCACCAACTCTAAATTGCAACTGTTAACCACAATTCTGCACATCAACCTTGTGAATAAGGTCACCTTTGAGAAAACCAGCTTTCTTTTGCTGCCTGTCTCTAATAACTTATTCATCCTTTGTTTTATAAAAGAAAGGAAGAAAAGACAGAAAAAGAGAGGGAGCAAAGAAGGAAAGCGGGGAGGGAAGGAAAAGGGAAAGAAAAGAAAGAAAAGGGGGGAAAAATCACTCAATGTTTTCTACCCTTCCTGAATAACCTGGGGAAAAAGTGGGTCCCATCCTAATTTTTGAGAGTAGTTAACATTGTAGAGAATAACCATGCTAAGTGCCAGTTTTGTCTGATGCTGTCATTTTGCCTTTGTTTTGCATTGATCAGGAGAAGTATTCCTGCAGATTAAAGGGCCACTGGAAGATATTTATAAAATCTACTGCTATCACCATGATGAAGCACACAGTGTACTGGAGTCCTATGAAAAGGAAGAAGAGCTGAAGCAACATTTGAGCCACTGTATCCAGTCCTTAAAGTAAGGCCTTTTCAAATGATGATTCCCATCTCCTCTCAGTTGCCTAGCAGGGAACATTTTAAATGGATGTAGATGAAAGGTCTCACATAAATCCTGTTTTATGAGGCTTGCTGGGAGCTCTGCTTTGCATTCCCTTTATAAAAAGCTGACATGCCAGAAGCCCTGATTGACTTTTTTTCCCCCTGTGAGAATGACTAAAAATAACATGGGAAAAGATATAGAGCTCTGTAGAGATTGAAAAATGCAATATCAAAATATAAAATGTGGAAGAAAAGCCTCTTCTTAAAGCTATTGTAACTTGCCTGCTCCCAGATAGTTCAAGGAGTATGTGAAATAACACATGGCCCTATGACCACTGGAGCACAGGGGTTAAAGGAGTTAGTGGAATGGCCTGTGACTCTCTGCATGGCCATCTTCTTTCCCCAAACTCATTGTGGGGAGATTTTGGTGAAGACAAGGCAGGCTTAGCTAAAGTTAGTTTCAGAACAATTACTCGTGCCTTTCTTCCTCATCTCTAAAACATTAATGGGTGCTACATAATGTACTTTTTCTTTTCTAGAGAAAATATCTATTCATTATGAAAATCTGAAAAATATAAGAAAGTATGTGTAAGATAAAAACCCCTTGCTATTTCACTATTAACCACTTTCTTCTTAATAATCATTTTCTTCTGATATTATTTATATGCATAAATGTGAGTATGTGTTTGCACTGATTATTTTAAATGAAATTGGTGTCTTACTGAATATGCAGTTTTCTACCACATGAAGCTTAAAGCCAAAATTACTGCCCTACTGCACACCTTACCCAGTGGTTCTCTTACAGACTCTCCCTTTCAAGTGGTATGTATCCACTGTCAAATAATCTTGATTAGACCAGGAATTAAACAAACATAGAGCTGTGGTGTATAAGTCAATGCACACCCATCTGACCCTGTAGCACACCTCCCCTGTATACTCTGTTGCGGTGGAGGAAGGAGGGATCCCTGACCGGGATGGGGATGGGGATCCTAATATGGTACAAGAGGTTTTTAGTTGCATTAAAGTGAAATCACAGTACTACTCTGGAAGAAGCGTTTCCAGGCTAGAATTGGGTCTGAAAGTGAGTTTAAAATGAGTCCAGTGAATTTTTTTTTAATAAATAAAATGTCAACTTCATTGCCCTCCACTGGTCATTAAATTACTGTGGTTTTTAACCATTCTTCATGCCATGGAAAAGAAGAATTCAAGTCACCAAATCTCAAGCATTTATTTAGTGTTTGTGCTGTGCCAAGTGTAGTTCTGGGTGCTAGGAATACAAAAGTAAATAAGACTTAGACTCTGCCCTAAGGAACTCAGTATGACCAGATAAGTTTTAAATATAAGATGTAATGAGCAAATAGCTCCAGTTAATTATTTCTCGCTATTTTCAGTTTAGTTCAGTGTTAGAATATCAATTCAGAGAAACATGCAAGCTTGACGTTGTGGCCATTTTAATAAATTCATATGTTAAAAGCACAGTCCTCTAAATGTTCAGATTTTTTTTTCTTTGGGAAAAAAGGAAATGGTATTATCCTGGGTTTGAATGAACACCTTTCCTACCTTAAACAAGTGGCAAGATCTGATCCAATAAAAG